TCGCCCTCAAATTTTGAATTTTTTTTCTTTTTTTATTTCCTTTTTCAATTAATTGACTTCTTCTCATTCATCAAAATATTAATAATTTAACCACAATTTTGTTTTTCTTCATCTTCAAGATAAACCTGGGGTTTTTATCCATCCATTAATTCAAAACTAAAATTTTATTAATAATAAAATAAAAACTTATATTTGTATTTTAAGACCTACAACATTCCTTCAAGTTATGTATCTTATAGTATTAGATATAGTTTACATTTCGACTTGTCTCAAGTTATATTTCCACCTAACGTGATTTACATTTTTACTTGCCTCAAATTACATTTTCATTGACGCCATTTACAATTGAACTTGGCTCGAGTTACATTTTCGTTATCACTACTTACGTTTGGACTTTATTCAAATTACATTTCAGTTAAAGCGATTTACATTTTGACTTGCCTCATCAACAATTTACATTTCAATTAATGTGATTTACATTTTGACTTGTATGAAGTTACATTTGGACACACATGATTTACATTGCATATATGAAATGTGAGAGAATAATTAAATACTAGAGTGAATAACGAGTTTTTTCCTGAAATAATGTTAATTAAATAAATAATTCTCAAAATACTGTTGGGTTAAAAACAATTCCCAAACTACTGTTGATTTAATCGTGGTTAAGGAAAGCCGCCACTTGAAGTGACGGCTCTTCTCTTACAGTACAAAAGCCTCCACTCCAAGTGGCGGCTCTTCTCTTACAACACATTTTATACATATATAAAACGCAGTATGTTTCAAGAATTTGTTTAACTATCTTCCCGATAGAATTTTAAGCTGAAATTTGGTATGAATAAACTAGACTTGATGATTCTAAAAAAAATCATCAAAAAATCCACCACGAAGACAATATGATAGTGTTGTCCGCACGGGGGTCCTGGTCAGGACGTCATGACGGGAATGAGACATTTTTATGAAATTTGAGGTACTTCCGAGTCGAATTTTTTAATGACATTTAGTGATCATGTTCTTTCTAATGTATAGGTTATGTTCAACGCATTTTAGATTAAAATTAAATCAAGAAGTTAGTTAAATTATTTATTGAAAAAACTGCATTTTTTGGCCTAAATAGGTGTGCAGTTTTCAAAAAAATATTTAACTAACTTCCCGATTAAAGGAACTAAATTCAGATTCGAGCTATCACTGCAATCATTATGCCCTTATAAACAATTCTTTCTCTTCCACTTACTAAATAAATATGAACTTTCTTTGAGCAGTTTATGGCCATTGGAAACAGTTTCAACATTCACATCAACTTTAGCAACCGGTACTATTACTCTAAGTTCCAATTGCAGAATCACAGTTTCGCCCAATTTAATTGAGCTCGTTTCTGGAAGGCAACGGTAAATTCAAATTCAGATAAGCATGTGTAATCCTACAACATACAAACTATTGATAGAAATGCTCAAAGTAATGTAAAAATGGAAATGCATATCACATATAACACATGCAGCTAAAACATGATGCCTTATGGACAAATTATCAACAAATATAAAACAATAAGAAATTATAAAATATTGCTTCCGGGAAATAACATACCAAACGATTTATTTGCATAACTTATAAAATTATCTTGGCACAAATTTTGTCTCGTGCCTACTGAAAATGTTCATGTAACGTAGGCCTAAAAGCTGCAATTTTAGGCCTCTTTCATTTGAGCTATTTCCGAGTTGAATTTTTTGATGAAATTTCGTGAGAATGTTCCAATGGAATGTAGATTATGTCCACCAAATTTCAGATTAAAATTCAATCGGGAAGTTAGTTAAATAAATTTTTAAAAATTGCATAATTTTTTACACCTAAAAATGCAGTTTTTTCAATAATTTATTTGACTAAATTCATGATTTAATTTCAATCTGAAATTTAGTGAACATAACCTACACTTTAGGAAGAACATGATCATCAAATTTCATAAAACAATTCGACTCAGAAACACCTCAAATTTCATAAAAATGTCTCATTCCCGTCATGACGTCCTGACCCGGACCCCCATGCGGAGAACACCATCACATTGTCTTTCTGGTGGAATTTGTTGATGAATTTTTTTTGAGAATGTTCCTCATCAAGTCTAGTTTATTCATACCAAATTTCAGCTTAAAATTCTATCGGGAAGATAGTTAAACAAATTCTTGAAACATACTGCGTTTTATATATGTATAAAATGTGTTGTAAGAGAAGAGCCGCCACTTGGAGTGGCGGCTTTTGTACTGTAAGAGAAGAGCCGCCACGATTAAATCAACAGTATTTTGGGAATTATTTTTAATCCAGCAGTATTTTGGGAATTATTTATTTAATTAGCATTATTTCGAGGAAAAATTCGTGAATAACTGAGATTACATTTGTAGTAACCCCAGATTACAGGGGATTTACATCACAAAAAAATACTAACAGAAAAAACATAATTGTTGTTCATAATGCATTTTTAAGTTAACACTTAAATCAAATGACGTCATTTTAATTGTGAGAGCATGATCCTCGACTCCTCGTCATAGGCCGCTCCCATGGTGTAATATTTATGAGTATTGTGTATGAATGATTAATAATTTCATACTAGTATTCATTAATGTGTGGTATGAATTAGTTTTAATGAAAACATGTATTATTAATAGTCTAAATGAACATGTTTTAGAATTTTCAAAGCAAAACTATGTTGACTATATCTTTAAGAAATTATTATTCTAACTATGATAGGAATAGAAGTATTTTGAAATTGGAGTACTATGTTTTAATTATGGTGCCATAATTAATGCTTCAAAATGCAAAGTATGGTAGTAAATTTTTAGTATGACAATACTACACTCCTATTAAGGAAAAACATATACTCCTATTTTAGAATTTTATATTGTTTTTACTCATATTTAAGAAATCTTTCCTAAATATGGTGTGATACAGATGCTGAACTACAACAATAGATTTTTTTAAATTTATGAAGCAAACATGACTAATTCATTATAATCATAAACGTGAATAGTACCAAGTATTTGCAACTTGGCACTTTTATCTAAAACTCTATGGGATATACACTGAAAAGCGGACTCCCTTTGGGTTCGGTGGGTACACAAAGTGTACCTTAAAGGCCGGTGCATCTGGGAGGTGACTGCACATAGTAGAGACTCTCAGCTTATGAAAAAGCTTGCTGTCATAAAGGATCTACTAGTCACTCATTTCCAAAGACCAACGGAAACAACAAGAGGATTGGGAAAACTTTGCAATGATGGCAGGCTGTCTTCAGCAAAAGTTTATGATATTTTGAGGATGAAAGGCGTGAGGAGAACCTCGATGCCATTCATTTGGAGACACTTCATCCCACCTAAATATTCTTTCATCATGTGGCTTGTGTTTAGGAACAGACTAGCTACTTTGGACAACCTGGAGTATTTGAATCTTGGAAATATTTGTTTTCCTTGTACACGAGAACTTGAATCTGTGGCCCATCTTTTCTTTGCTTGCCCTTATTCTGCATGTATTTGGCTAGACATACGTAAATGGCTAGGCATTCGAAGAGAGATGAACACTCTATCAAGCTCGATTAAGTGGATTAGAAAGGAGCACCATGGGGCTCGGATTCGCAATAAGGCTATCTGTAGAACCTTTTGCTGCACCATCTATACAATCTGGAGATTACGTAACTCAGCATGCTTCGATCATCTTCTTTTCCAACCCAGGAGGTATTAGCTAAAATCAATGTGGTAGTTTATAGAATCATGTTCAGCCTATATCCTACCAATGTTTTTTATTTCTAGAATATGCTTTTGGAGGTTTTATCTTTTATTGGGCTGGTTGTATTCTTGATTTTTTATTGCTGATTTGGTATCTGATTATGGAAGGCTGCGGACTGTTTAGGCAATTTGTTTTAGTTACAGTAAGGGGCTTGTCCCTTGTTGTTTGGTTTGTGGCTACTATATGCGGGTAAGGCAATGTGTCTACCTTATGCCCGCAATTTGCTGTTTTGTTTTTTCTTTGAGCAGGGGTATGCCCCGGTGATTTTTATATGTTACAATTTTGAATGAGTCAACATGTACATTTTACCTTTTCATGATATTCAATTCATATTGATCGTATTTGTTGGCTTCTTGCAAGTAAAATTCAAGCTTTGATTCTTCCCCAAAAGCTTTACTTGTTAACAGGACCTTAACCTCTATTCTTTATTTTGTAGTTTTAAATTTCGTTTTTCAACCCACTATTTATTAAATTTAAAAGCGGATGCTTTCAGTTGTAATATGATCGTTAATCAGCAGTGTACTTTCATTTCTTGTATACGGAGTAGCCATGGAGCCGGGCCGGGTTGGGGCCGGGCCAGGTCGGGCCCGGGCCGGGCCTGGCCTAGGCCCGGTCGGGCCTTTTGTGTTTGGGGGAAGGCACGGGACTGGACCGGGTTGCCGCCGGGTCCGGGTCGGGCAGGGCCGGGCCTCGGGCCACTTTGTATTTTTTTTTTCCTTTTTCTAATTAACCCCCCCCACCCCCAAACCACCCCAAATTGGCCAAAATACCCAGCCCAACCCAGGTTTTAAAAAAAATTGAAAAAAATATATATAAATAAACCCGAACCAGGCCCGGGCCGGTTCCATTTTTGGCTGACCCGAGCCCACCCTTCCCTAACCAGCGGGCCGGTCCTACCCGAACCGGATTGTAGCAGGTCACCAGGCCGAGCTGGTTCCGGGCCGGGCCAGTTCCGGGCCGGGCCGGGCGGCCCGGCCCAAGTCCAAGACTAATACGGAGTAGCATATTTGGACCAGGACAAAACCAAACAGAGCAGCTGAACAGATGAGCAAACCAAAACATGATGAAGTTATCTGGTTATTATTTCAATTCAAACTTTTATTATACTCGGGACAATCCCAAATCAACCCGAGTTTTTCCTCCCATTTTAATTTATGTTCACTTAGCTTATTTTAGGAAGCTAGGATAAACGCCTATAGTTGTTATTACTCCCAAAAGCATTAGAATTTATTCTACTCGGATAATGTCCTTCACACACTTTTAGAAATAATAACGCATATGATGAAGCTTGTCAAATATCATACGTAGTAGCATATACCAATTAATAAGTTTATACATTTACAATACCATATACAGTATATACACTTACCCATACGATGTTTACACTGTACAAACACTCTATTCTTAACAACACAAAGTTAAACTACATATCTACACAAAGCATAAAATAGTACCTCCTTAGTTAAAGAAAGATTCGTCAATTCCCTTTTCATCAATGACATAATCATGGCATAATTCACTTTCTTTTCTACCTTCTCTTTGGTTCACTTTCTTGGGGTGTTTGGAACTCATTCTGCTTCCGCTTCTTTTTTAAAGCAGAAACAGAAGCAGATCAGAATCAATTTTCAGAAGCTTGTTCCCCCAGCTTCTAAAAAACTGATTCTAGGAGTAGATTAGAGCACCAGAATCACTTCTGCACTTTCACCCAAACACTCCAAACACCCCCTTAGTGTTGGATAATTTGTTAACAGTCTACAATGTTTTAATTGGACTCTACTAAAGTAGCACAATATAAAAAATACTAGTGGTCCGCTAAACAATTTGGACGGATAACTAGCCACTCTTCTGCCACATCGAAAAAAGGCTGTTGTGTGTAACTCCACCAATTCAACTTAATTTGTACAACTCAATAGTTTGGAAGAAACGTCAAACTTGAACCGATGTAATTATACACAGTAGTTTTACTTAGTTTTTTGCAAAGAGTTGCAAGCTCATCCTTCTAGATTGTCTAGTAGGTCACTAGTCGTTTTTATGCTTGGCTAAGTTGAAAGGGTACAGTTGAAATGACGCACTTTGCAAACAGCTTATCAAACTAAAAGAATATCGACTAAAGAAAAGGTGTAGAGGGGGTGAATGGTGAAAGGAATCACTATTTATTCTTGGAAAACTTAGTGGAATCAAGATTATGCCAAAAGATGAAATGAAAACTTAGGGGACTTTGTTTACCAAGGATGTATGATTTTACAATTTTTGTGAATGTGTTATTTAACTTTGTGTTTGTGTAAGTAGAGTATTTGCTTAGGGTAAACATAGTAATAATAAAGACATAAAATTATAAAAATATGAAAAGTACTGACATGTAGGAAATAGAGGTTATAGAGCTTCTATTCCTTTTCATCCAACCATCTCTTCATCAGATGGCCAAACCACTATCTACATCAGCCATTCACGCTTCACATCCAAGTTCTGATCAGATATTTGTTTATACAGTTCATCGTGGTCAAATTTCTATAACATGAGAGGATGACAATCTTTGTTAGTTTAGTCCCAATACAACTTTATTATTTGCTTCACATAGCTTAAAAGTAACACAGCTCAAGATTGAAGAACATTTAATTAGAGTTTAGACATTAACCTTTATCCATTTCCCATAGAGGTCCAGACGTGTTATCATCACTCTTTCAGCGAGCTCTTGTTTTTCCTGCAACATATAGGATCACAATCAGCTTTGCCCATTACCAAGTTTTTTTTCTGCTCCTTCCACAATGGTAATGTCCATAATATATATTCATGGAAATCAGGGGATTGTTTATGCTTACCTTCATAAGAGTAGAAATAAACTGCTTCCCATCTCTAAGCTTGTTTGTTACTATAAATCTACAGAATTGGCAAACACACGAATTATATATCTGGAACAAGACTAGGTACTCAGATGCACAAAAAAATGTAGGGTCAATTGTATTATTACAAACTATGGAAATTCATTCAATTGATATTATATATATATATATATATATAACACTAAAGTATATGCGTGTATCAAGAATAAAGGTATACATTTAACCCCCCAAAGCCCATCCTGCCAAACCATTCCCAAACTGACCCTAAGACACGAGATACGGTTTGGGCTTACTCATAGAGCCAATGATACTGTGGAGGGTTCATTTCTTGAAGCTGGTCTAGAACAGTCATTACAGCTTTGTATGTAAAATAGTTTATTATTTGCTGCAGACAATGAAAATTTCATCAATTGTGATATCCTAAATATTCCACATGTGGTAGAAAAGGCAAATAATCGTACGTGCAGTTTCATAGATGGGATAGCAATTAGTTTCAAGCAAATACATCACGCTGCAAGGTTTTATGTATATTTAAACAAAACATGCAGGGGGGTAAAACAAAAACTACATGAACAGTCAGAATGTGACAAAGCTCAAAAATGCTAGAAGAAAAAAGAAGATGAAATAAATTGGACATGATAAACTTCCAACAAAACAACAATATTAGCCCAGTGCCGCAAAGGCTCCCACCTACGATGGGGTAAGGGGGTCGGATGTACGCAGCCTTATCCATGTACTAAAACATGGAGAGACTGGTTCCAGGTGACCCAACGAAGAAAATTGCATCGAAAATTGCATGGACTAACTAGTGTTTCATAACAAAGAAAACCAGACAATTTAGTGAGCCATTTTGCTTTATTCCATCCAAGCCAAAAAATGATAATCTTTGGCTTCAATGGAAATGATGGAAAGACATGATAATCTTCCCATTCATCTAAAAACAAACATGGACTTACGTTTGGTTGAGGAATTTTGGAGGATTGGTTTTTGTTTTACTAACTTTTCTTTATTTGTTAGTGATACACTAAAAAATAATCATAATTTTAGTTAAATAGTGTAGTTCTTCACAAATTTTCTCCTTCACATGTTTCCGAAGCATATAAATGTAAAACAGTTGACAAAAAAAAACTGTTCTTCCCATCCAAAATCCTCATACCAAATCAGGGCTTAGATCCAAAAGGCTATTTAGTGTTTACTTGTACTTGTGCAAATTTCTATACCTGCACTTATGCAGTTCTGCAAAGGGCGGTTTATGATGCCTATAGTGTAATTACTTCTTCACAAACAGCACATATAATTAGCAAAAAGTGAATAAGCTAATTAGCAAAAAGGTATATATAAAACGAAGTTCAGAGTGTTCTTACTGATTTCACATCTTCAAAAGCGTCTTCATACTGACCACCGAACTCATTCACCACTGCAGAGCCCCTCTTCTTCGCCTGCTGCTTTTTCAAACTTTTAAAATGGCCTCGTTGCCCTTTCTTCATAACCCTCGGGCCGAGAAACGAATAGCTCAATTCCAAGGAACCAAGGCTTTTGATCTGCTTTCTGGGAAGCGAAGTTGAAGAAAGATTTCTATGTAAACCTAAATCCACACTGCTGAGATTGCATGAAGCCGGCACAACCAAGCACGGACATAGTCTAGAATGAGAGTCCAGCATCATCGACGATGACACAGCCCCCGAGGTCCCCATCGTTGCGGCTGAGAATCAAGATTTCAGAGAAAATGGGGATACCTCAAGGTGAAATTCTGATGGTCTGCTTTTCCAGTATTCCATTTTAGCAAATCATTTTCTAGTTTTACTAGTATAGTACCCAGGGAAAAAACGGGTGGTGCATATATTTTTACTTATTATATAATTAAATACTATATAATTAAATACGTAGTATTAAAATAAAATAATTTTGTAGGATTCTACATTTTCAAAAAATAAGAATACATTAAGCTAATCACATAAAAGATAAACTAATACAATAAATATTCAATGATGAGTATATTAAAAAAAATTAATTAGCACCACTCATTAGAGTTTGTACTTCCCTTTTAAATGTCACGTCAAGATTTCAGAAAAAATGGGGATACCTCAAGGTTAAATTCTGATTGTCTGCTTTTCCAGTATTCCATTTAGCAAATCATTTTCCAGTTTTACTAGTATAGTAGTACCAAGGAAAAAAACGGGTGGTTCATACGAAGCATATTTTTAGTCAGTACATAACTAAATATTAAAATAAAATACTACCTCCGTCCCGTTGAAATATTCCCAGTTTGACCTACACACATATTAAGGAAATAAATTTATCAGGGGGTAAATTTTACTGTTTGGACACTGTTTGGACACCGTTTGACACTGTTTTGCACTGTTTGACACTGTTTTGATGTAGAATAACTTTCCATTTTGGGAAATGAGAACTTTCCATTGGGACATCCAAAAAAGGAAAGTAGGAATATTCCAACAGGACGGAGGTAGTAATTTTGTAGGATTCTACATTTTTGAAAAAATAAGAATACAATAAGCTAATATCATAAATTATAAGCTCGTACAATAAATATTCAATGAAGAGTATATTAAAAAAATAATTAGCACCACTCATTAGAGTTTGTACTTATTCATTTTCATGATTAAAATAATTTTAAAATTAAATACTATTATATAAAAAAGTGAATACTAATAAATATTGAAATCAACGAATACTACGTATCAGCTAAATAATAACTTGCAACTCATCAGTTAAATATTGCTACTCCAGCATTTTGAGTCAAGGGGGGCGAAATTTTTTCATTAGTGTAGGCGGTGAAAATTTTTCCGCTAGTGTAGCATGCCAAAACAAATTCGCTGGTGTAGCGGGGCGAAATTTTTCAGTAGTGTAGGACTCTGCGGCTAATTTTTGTTCAAAAAATTCCATGAGTAAATACACGATGACATTTAAATATATTATGTTACATTCTAATTTTAGACAATGGAAATATAACTTTTTTGATGTAATAATTGTAAGTGCTCTAGAAAATTATTCGAAAATAAGAAAGGATATAACATTTTATCAAATATTTTGATAACATTTTATCAAAATAAGAAGGTAAAGAATTTAAAAAGTACACATAAACCAATGCTTTTTTATAACTTCTGCTTTGTTTACGAAGGAGGATATTCGTGGATCACGATAAGTTTTGTTAATATTACAATAATATGTATGCGATTATTGGTTTTAGAATAATATGCTACGTAGTATTGTTAATTCATATATACATGGTGCATATTGTATTTATTGTAATGCTAAAATAAGTTAAAGTTTATTTCTATGCAACAAATTGTTTTTACAAAGTAAGAAGTAAAATAATTGTGTGATTTAGATGATCTAAATTATCGTTGATAATTAATATTTTGGATTCACTTTAGATGATCTAAAAACTGTTTAACTATTGTGTATGATATTTAATATCGTTGATATTTTACAAAATCGAGTACTGATGTCTAATAAAGATAATTAAAAATTACAAAACTAAGAATTTTGATATAACAGATATCCTAAGTCTTAAACAATGAGTTGTTTTATTGATTATTTGTTTAAATTATGTAAAACATTTTAGATTTTACTTCTTTTAAATCTCCAATTAAGCATTACATTATGTGAGCTTATATATTAATTTTGAAAACTAAAAGATAAGGGGGACGAAAACATATATATCTCATTGAAATAGGAAAATTTTATGAAAATTTTACATGTATAGTAGAAAAAATTGAAAGTCCAAGCCCCCCCCCCCCCCCCCCCCCCCCCCGAAATCCATCCCCGAGTGCTAGCATATGAGAAAGAAAATTATATTGTTCAATTCTTAGTCAGCAGTGTATCTTATACAAAAAGAACTACATATGAGAGAAATTTTTCACTCAATTGTTTGCTGGATTAACTTATAAAAGCACTACGCATGAGGGACAAAACTCTACTGCTTAATTGTTAGCCGACTTATCTTATACTTAAAAAAATTACTTATATGAGAATTGTCCCGCTCAATTGTTAGCAACTTTATCTTCCAATATGTAAAAGCCTACATATAAGAGAGAGAAATTTTTCACTCAACTATTAGCAAACTTATCTTGTTATGTCTAAAATCACTACATATGAGAGAGAAAATTCTCTCATTCAATTGTTAGTCGGCTTATGTTATACCTAAAAACACTATATGTGGGAGCAAAAAAACTGCTTAATTAATTGCTAGCTAGTCTTATACAAAAAAGAACTATATATGAGAGCAAATTTTCAACTCAAATGTTAGTCTGACTAACTTATACCTAAAAACACTACATATGACTGATGAATAGTGTACCCTAGGGGTAGCTTATCTGAGGGGTTGTTGCGGGGAATTACTAGAGAGAAGTCAGAGCAAACAAGTAAGAGAGAGAAAGAAAGAGAGAGAGAGTCAGATATATTGATGAATACTGATCTGGGATCCTTTACAAGAGGAATAAAGGTTGCTATTTATTGCAGCCATAAATGCGATGAGAGTACACGTGTCAACAGTCTAACGGTCGAGGGGTCACCTAAATTGGGGTGGCACCGGCATTTGCATGTGCGCCGCATTAAATGCGGTAGTTGGATGTGACACATCATTGAATGCGGTGGTTGCTTGTCTCCAGAGGAAGCTTCATAGAATGTAAAACCTTCAGCTAGTGACATATGGCCGAAGGCTGATGAGTGGCCGAAGGCTAGGTTCATGCCGAGGGCACCCAATAGCCGAGGGCTACTGTTTTCTGTCGTTTTCTCCCAGGAGCTTTGTATGCTCAAATCTAGCTACCCCGTGGAATTTGGAGCCCTCGGCCATAGGGCCGTAGGCACCCATACGTGCACCGTGGGCTTCTTAACACTTGGGCCGCTGTGTTTGGGCTTTGTGTGCTCATTGGGCTTGATGGGCCTGAGTATGAGAAGTAGGAGTCTGTGGGCCGGGGGTCCCTAGGCCATATACTCCATCAATGACAAACAAAATTGTACTGCTTAATTGTTAACCGACTTATCTTTATTTAAAAGAACTACTTATATGATAATTTCTCAGCTCAATTGTTAGCGTGTTTATATTCTAATACATAAGAGACTACATATAAAAGAGAAAATGTTCCCGCTTAATGATTAGCAAACTTATCTTGTTATATCTAGAAACATTACATGTGAGAGAGAAAATTATCCTGTTCAATTGTTACTCGACTTATGTTATATTTAAAAGCACTACATATGGGAGAGAGAAAATTCCTGCTCAATTGTTAGCTAGTCTTAAACAACAACAAAAATACATATAAGAGAAAAAATTTCCACAGCCGGATTAACTTACCTAAAAACACTATGTATGAGAGACAAAATTCTCCTGCTTAATTGTTAGGCAGCTTATCTTATACTTAAAACTACTTATATGAGAATTTCTTGTTACCAATTTTATCTTCAAATACATAAAAGACTACATATGTGAGAGAAACTTTTCCCGATCAATTATTAGCAAATTTATGTTATATCTAAAAACACTACATATGAGAGAGAAAATTATTTTGTTCATTTGTTACCCGGCTTATGTTATACCTAAAAGCGTGACATATGTACCCGTACATATGCATGGGAAATAGCAAGTGCTGAATATATTTTTAATCATGATCCAAATAAATATTAAAATAAAAACAACTTTTTAGGATTATATGTTATAAAAAATAATAGGACAATTATCATCATCAAGTATAAGTCATACAATAATTATTCAATGAAGAGTATATTAGGGAAATTTAATTAACACCGCTCATTAGAATTTGCTACATATTAATTTTCATGATCAAATTTATTTTAAAATTAAATACTATTCTAAAAAAAAGTGAGTACAATAAGTGAATGGTATAAAGTTTAAGTAAATACAATAAATATTCAAATTAACGCATATTAGTTAAATAAGAACTTGCTAATCACACACAATTGTTAGTAAGTTTATTTTCTAATACCTAAAGGTGTTACATATGAGAGAGAAATTTCTCCCGCTCAATTATTAACAAGTTTAATTATCTTTTAATAGTTAAAAGCACAACATATGAGAAAATAATTTTCCCGCTCATGTGTTAACCAACTTATCTTATCTTCTTATACCTAAAAGCACTACGCATGAGAGAGAATTTTTCTGCTCAATTGTTTAGTCGTATTATCTTATACTTAAATGAACTACACATGAGAGAAAAGGTTTTTCCGCTCAATTGTTAAAAAACTTGTTTTCTTATCTTGCTTTACCTAAAAGCACTACATATGTGAGAGACAATTATCCGCTCAATTGCTAGCAAGTTTATCTTCTAATCTTCTAATACCTAAAAACACTACATATGATAGAGAAATTTATTCTACTGCTCAATTGTTAGCAAATTTATCTTCTACTACTACCTAAA